GAAAACTTTTAATATCAAGTTATCTCTTTAAATTTTTCTTCTTTATCAAATTGTTTCTCAACTAATTTAAAGTTTAATAATGAATTATTACAATTCTTGACTTGATTCTGGAAATCTTTAGTATCAACAGTAATAAATGTCGTTGGTGGTCGTTGTTTTCTCTTTTTTATTCTCTCTTAAGTTAATTAATAAATTTACAAATTAAAATTTTCAGCACGTCGTATAGTATCATAGACGAATTTTAGTTGGCACTATTTTGGAGCAGACTAGCACTTTTGCCAAAAGCCGTTTGAAAATCCGATGAAAATTTAATACAATTTTAAGAAAGTTAGTAACGAACTTCTTTTTGGATCCGGCATTTGTTCATTCATTTGTGATGATTCAGGCATCATAGATGGATTGATACTTGAATTTTGTCCAAGATTTTGAGTTTGCTCATTTTGTATATGATGACCATCGGAAAAATTATTTACAATATTTTCATCTACGCAATGAAAAATATTATTTTGAATGAGAATATTTAAGAGAATTAATCGAAATAATAAAATAAAGATCATTGCCCTGAAATAAAATTAATAATTTTTAAAGTTTTTTACTACATTTATTTGTCAATTAAAGCTTTATTTAAATTTTATTTTTAATTTAATTTATAAAAATAATGCAAATAAAAATTTATTTTAAATCATCTTCACATGATTAGACTTAAATAAAGGGCATAATGTCGGGCCATCCCTTTAAAATATTATTTTGCCAACATGTTTTGCCGGAAAGATTTATTAAAGAAAATTAATTTTAAATCAAAGGGCGATGTAAAGGAAAGTGCAAATTCTGATAAACATTTTCAGTGAAATGCATGTGATTTTATAATGAAGTTACTCACAACATGTTTAACAACACCCCAAAAAACAACCATAATTAAAACACTAATATGTATAATACCTCAATTCTATATGCTTCAATAATGATTATTTTTATTTTAAACTTTTGAAAATTTTAAAATTTTTGTCTATGCAATTATGTTAATAAAATTAATGCAACTAAAGAATTATCAAAGTGTTTATACAAATGTTTTTGATAGACAATTTAAATCAAGAGAATTGAAGAATATTAATACATATTAGAAAAATCTCGGTTACGAAAAATCTCGGTTATGGAGATCTAGATTTTTCAAGATCTCGATTCTTGTGCTATCCTCCCAGTCAAGGCTCTAATTAATATTGTGTTTTGCATGAATATTTAGTGGAATAAACTAGATGAATATGTATATGTACATAAATATTGCGAAATAGTATACAAGAGTTGAGTTATCGCCTTCAAACATAACCAAAAACCGAGGATTTTAGCTTCGGATTGTTAATTCCGTGTGGTATGGTTTTCAAAACAACAAAAATTTTTTAAATAATTTTGGAGTAAAAATAAAATATTTAGGTGAATAAGCATAGAAAAATAATTTTGTTTTTAAACAATTAGATTAAATCTTGAAACAAATTGAAATCAATGCCTGATGTATCGCTAAAATCAAAGTCCAAATCATTCAAATCTATTTGATTTTCCACTTTTACATTAATATCCCCAAATTGAATATCAAATAAACCAATAAATTCAGAGCCCAAAAGCTCAGCTTTTTGTTTAGCAGTTTCAGTTGAAAACAATCCTTTACCTAAATACTTTTCTTTCATTTTTCTATTTTTAAGCATTGTGACTTCATTATTTGGACCCAAATTTTCCAAAATATTAATAGAAGCTTCTTGTAACCATACTCCTCGAGCTTTTTCTATAAAACCGTTGAGGATAGACTTTCTATCAGATTGGCCTCCATGATGACCTGATGTTGAAGATTTTTCTTCCTTTAAATTAAATATTTACAGGGTGCGGCAAATTGGCCGCCCCTTTTGTTTTTGCCATAACTTTTTTTAAAATTAACCAAAAAGGATAATTCTTTTTTTATTTTATTCACAACACTCTAGGAAAATTTTTGGTACCAAACAATTGAAAATTGGTTAAGTTTTAGTAAAGATATACCCGTCCGAACATTTAACTGCGTAAAAACATGTTTCATGACAAAGTTTACACTGTCATAACTTTGCTCAAAGTCGTCAAATCTTAATAATTTTGGTAACAATCGACTTATCTCAGTGAGGAGCACCGAAATATTCCAGAAAAACATTTTTGAAAATTTCGACTAAAAAATAGAAATTTAACACTTATATTCTAATTTATATTTAAAAATTCATATCTTAGCTCATGGACTAGATAAGAGTTTTGTTTAAAAATTATTCGAATCAGTTTGAAGAGCTTATTCGAATGACATAAAGTTTTCAAATATCGAAATCTTAACATTGTGCCCAGGCCAACTTTTATCAAAAAAATTTTACTCAAAATTTGAAGGAAAATTAAGTAGGCTAAACCATAAAATTTAAAACAAATTTTAGTACCAAAAATTTTCCTAGAGTGTTGTGAATAAAATAAAAAAAGAATTATCCATTTTGGTTGACTTTGAAAAAAGTTATGGCAAAAACAAAAGGGGCGGCCAATTTGCCGCACCCTGTATTTTTACTTAAAAATAATATTTTATTAGACACTTAAGCAAATTATGTATACATCCGAATTCACCCATTATATACTGTATCCCTTGAATAATATCGTTTTAATTATTCAAAATATACCTTAGATTTAGATTTGCTTAATTTTTCCTCTAATGAATAAGCAAAAATAAAAAGACGGCTTAAAATACACAATGCATGTTTTCCTTCACCTCCTAACAATTCACTTTGACCATTATTTAATGATACAATTTTGCATTGTTCATCAATTATTTTGGGCAAATTTGATAAGATTAACTTATCAAAACAATTAAAATGTCTAACTATATTTTCAGTAAAATTATCTTTGCTAGAGTCAATTTTTTCTTTTCCTTCTCGAGAATAGTTAACAAAACTTCCATTTGATTTTAAAAATGAGAAGCTATCGAAAGTTTTATTTGTACGAGTCTAAAATAAGTTTATACATATTTGATTATCTAGGTAAAATTATTTTACAGGCACCACTTCCATATCAACTACGTTGATCATTCGAACTGGGGAAATTCATTAGCCTCGGAACATTAGCAAAACAGTGTTTATTAGAGACAAGCAGAGGTGGGTCGGAACAGCCCGAGGTGTCGGAAATCGGAACTGTCGGAAATCGGAAATGACTCAAAAGTCGGAACTCGGAAATCGGAAATCAAATTTTTTTTTCGGAAATCGGAAGGAAAAAAACGCCGGAAATCGGAAATCGGAAGGCGGAAATCGGAAATAAAATTTTTATTTTCATAACTGAAATAATATTTAAAAGTGTAAGCGGCACGGTATAAACAAAGTCCACCTTAATCACACGGTAAAAACAAAGTCCACCTTAATCAATCCTAATCCTCCTATATACAATTCAACTTCCATTTACAGCGCCGCAGGCAAAATTTTTGGGATTTTTGGGAGCCTTAAGCCAAAAATCTTCATGCCACAGGCGAAAATTTTGAGAATTTTGGAGGTCCTTAAGCCAGATTTCTTCCACTTTCTGCGCCGCAGGCGAAAATTTTGTGAAATTTGGAGGTTCTTAAGTTAGATTTCTTCAAATTTTTGCGCCGCAGGCGCAAATTTTGAGAATTTTGGAAAAATCTCTGGTCGGAAATATGCTTCAAAAATTCTCGGAAATCGGAAATTTTTCCAAAATTTCGGAAATCGGAAATCGGAAGGAAAAAAACGTCGGAAATCGAAAGTCGGAAATCGGAATTCCGACCCACCTCTGGAGACAAGAACGAGCGCATTGCGTTATTTTTGACGAAATTAACGCAAAAATACAACCAATCTGAGGACAAAAATTGAAGAGATATATCTGACCTTCCAAATTCTCAAAATTTTAAAAATCAAGAAAAATCAAAAATAGTTAAGGAAAAGATCAGTTAAGCGAAAGATCTTGGATTTTGCGTTTTTTGAGATTGTCTCATGCGCTCATCCCTGGTAGAGACGTGTGAGACTCGGTATTGAGTCTCTAGTGTTTAGAAAGTAATATAGCTAAGTTGTTATCGTTAATAAAAGGTCATATATACAGATTTTGACTATTAAATATTTTCCTTTTAACGCAAAATTATAACGATAAGTGAAAGTGAAATAAAAGTGAATGCGTAAGATTAGATGTGAAGAAACGAGATAATTTCACCTAAATACACATTTAAACCCGCTATAAAGAACGCTAAACCATTTCTAAGAAATGTGAACTTGATATTCTTTTTCTTATCTAAGAAATCAACCGATAAATAAATACTTAACTCGCGCAATAAATGCTGTTCGTCCAGTTGAAGTCTTTTAAAGTTAATTTCAACTTTAAATTTATTTTTTAATTCTCTTTCATGCCATTTTTCATAATAACCAATAATAAAATCTGGATCAATTAATGCCTTGAAATTTGTATATTCACTAAATTCATAAATTGTTTTGATTATATTTGATGCTTCGTCCAATTTTAAAACTTAATATATTTTAAAAAAAGATTAAAAATTGTTATTTTCAAAGAATCCTTCATAGTATTATTATATCACTAATTCTAATCTAGTGCCTTAATTTAATTGTTTCTGTTAAAATTCCGGAGATTACTACCAAGTGACTTTATCGCGTAATGAAAAGAAATAGAGCTATAAGTTAAAACTATATGATCAAATCAAATCAAATTTATACGCACCAGCGCGACGATTTCAGACAATAATAATGTGATAAAATAAATAAAATTATAAAATGAGCGTAAACAAACGATTTCCTTAATATAATATGATAAAATAAGACTGGGATTTATTAAGCCTTTTACTGAGATGTGCTTCGTTCTATTAAAGTAACGGAGTATTTCTATTGAAGGAAAGTTCTTAAATAAATTGTGCTACTTGAAGGCTCCATATAAAATGAAAATCATGCTTGATTATATACTTAATACTTAATGCTCCACAAACCCTTTAAATAATACATATAAGTTTATTATTTGCCTGGTAAATTATCATAAGTTACATCTGCGATGCTACTTTGAGTTTTATCGGATAGTGCAGGCGAAAATTGTATTTCTTTTGCCAAATTGTGTTCCTGTTTAATTAGAGAAACATCCTTAATTTCATAAGGTTGAAGTTGTTTTTGGTTATCATTTCGTTTTACATCAATATCCCCAAATTGAATATCAAATAAACCAATAAATTCAGCGCCCAAAAGCTCAGCTTTTTGTTTAGCAGTTTCAGTTGAAAACAATCCTTTACCTAAATACTTTTCTTTCATTTTTCTATTTTTAAGCATTGTGACTTCATTATTTGGACCCAAATTTTCCAAAATATTAATAGAAGCTTCTTGTAACCATACTCCTCGAGCTTTTTCTATGAAATCGTTGATGATAGATTTCCTATCAGATTGTCCTTCATGATGACCTTTTACTTTTGATATAGCCTTTAGAATTTATAAATTTATTTATTTTAAAATTAAAGGAATTTTTTACAAAGTATCATAACTCATTTTATTTTTTATGTAAGGTCTGAATTTTAGAAACCACTTAGATAAATACAACTAAGTTTACCTTTATCTTATATTCATATAATTTCTCTTCCAACGTTGTTGCAAAAATAAAAAGACGAGATAAAATACACAACGCATGTTCTCCTTCACCCAAGGACCAGTTTAAATTGAATTTTCTTGCTATTTCCAAATTGCATTGTTCATCAATATATTCCGGCAAATTTGAAAATAATATCTTCTGTTTCTACGTTTTTAAAATAAAAATTAATAAATTATTCGTATAAAACTTGCTTCAAATAAATCTTTTAAACTAACCAAATTCTCATTTACACTACCACCGAATATCAATGTAAATAATCCACTCATAAATCCTTCTATTTTGAAAAAGCTTTTATCAAAATCTTTATTGTTCCAATCCATTTTTCCTTTGTTCAAAATAGATGAATGAATGAACATACCTTTTGATTGCAAAAATGAGAAGCTATTGAAAGTTTTATTTGTACGGGTCTAAAATTATCTATTTTCGAGATAAACTGCATATTAAAAATTATATGTAATATTATATGTAAATTAATTAGAATTAATATTATAAAATTATAAAAATTATATGTAATATTATATGTAATATAACCGTAATAAATATAGCTAATAAATTATAAGTAATAATGAATTTATTTGTCTCAGTGTCCGAAAAGTCCTTCCGACCGGAAACGAATCAGATATAAGGATAATTATCAGGATTCGCCAACCATAATTAATATTGGTCACAAAAAATAGGGCAATGATCCATCTGATTAATAATGATTCAGAATTCTCTCAGCAAATTCATATTCAAATTTCATGTGATTTCAATTGGAAATCGTATTGAAACAAAATCTAAGTTTTCTCAGATACCTCTACTAAAGTATTACACACATTTACAATTTTATTTTAGTAATAATTAAATAAATACTTAACTCGCGCAATATATTTTGTTCATTCGTATTAAGTGTTTTAAAATTTATTCCTTCAAATTTATTTTTTAATTCTCTTTCATGCCATTTTTCATAATAACCAACAATGAAATCCGACTTAATTAAAGCCTCAAAATTAGTGTAGTTATTAAATTCATAGATCGTTTTGATTATATTTGATACTTCATCCAATGAAAAAACTTAAATATTTAAATATTTCCACCGATACCTCAAATCCCTGTTTTTTTATTATCTATTACGCAAAACCTGTAACATTACCTAAGCATCAGGGCTGGGCGATTTCGCATTTTCGCGTTTCGCATCTTTCGCATTTTTCACATTTTTTGGCGCGAAAAGTTTCGCATTCCGCATTTCGCATTTCGCTTTTTATTTTTTCAAAAAAAGTTTCGCATTCCGCATTTCGCTTTTTATTTTTTGATTTCGCCCAGCCCTGCGAAACTTTGTTTGATTATTGAAGGATTTATATTAGTCAAAGTTAGATAACCCAGTATTATTTAAAGTTAATACTAGAGTTGTACCCCGACCCGATATCCCAGGAAACCAAAGTTTATCCCTCCAAATCCCCTTATATCTTAATATATACACCTTAATGCATTCAAATCCTAATTAATCCCTTAATCATCTCTAATTCCTCCGTCTCCCCCTTAATTTTTAGATAAAATACCTGGTTTTTTATTGCCAGATATATCGGTTATTTTATGTCGTTTCGGATATGGCTCAATGTAATTATGCTCTCCTTGCATGCTTTCAACATTATCATATAAATATAAAAATATCAATTTTAATATAACAAAATACATTTTTAATATATTTTACTGGTTTATATCTTCTTTTATTTGTTTACTATTTTAATATTAAATAATTAGTAAATAAAAGTTGAAAATGTTAAAACAAATTTCGCGCATAAAATTGTGTTTTTAAAAATGTTTATATTTTTAAATAAGGGATTGTGACTCATTGGCTTTTCAAATTTCTAAAAATTTTAGTTTGTGGAGCAAAAAACATGCTTCTTTAACATTATAAATTCTCAAAATTTCGTTAAAAAGAAGTGAAGAACTAATGTGAAATGAGAATTAGAAATCGGACAAATGGCAAAATGAAATATTTGATCAAATACTTGAAATTATTATATATTTGAAAAAATTTGATAGAAAAAGTCAAATATTTGATCAACTAATTCTAATAAAATTTGAACAAATATTTGATTTTATTTGACCAAATATTTGTTTTGTCCGATTTCTAGTGAGAAGCGGCACTGAGAAATCGAACTGGCACGACATAAATTTAAAAATTTTTTCTTATTTTGAAATTAATATAAAAAATATTTTAAAGTAAAAAAATAGACAATTCACATATATTTTTATTTATTTTTAAAATTAAGGGGCTGATAAATTTAGAAAAATGACAAAGTGCATGCTTTTGAATTGAGAATAACGCTCTTTATTAATTATGAAATAAACAAAATAAAAATACTATTTGATTTCTTAACTATTATAGAAAAAGAATCGACTAGTCGATTTCAAAATGATTTTTAAAATATTTACAGGGATTTGTTTATGATTAAAAAATATGAAATTATTGTCTTATGCAATGGGCGGCAAGTTCGGCGTCTATTTTGTTTTAATGCTAGCCTGCCTCAGCATCAACGAAGATTTGGAACATTTAAACAATTTTATGGCACCAAGTAATAGCAAGATCGTGTTTGCTGATATTGAGAAGAAAAAGCTTCCCTATGAGAGAGAATCGGAAAATAAAGCCACGCGCTCCAGTTGAACTGCCGTTTCTATTATACCGGCTCAATCTAATAATTTACTTTAAAGAGTTTTTTCTAGCTTGTTGTATAATAATTAGATTTTTGTTTACTTAATTAAAGTTAGGGATTCCGGGAAGTCTTTTGATATCCGAATCCGATATCTGGACAAAGGCGATAATTCGAAGATATAATTAGTCCTTTTTATTAAAAACTCATTTAATCTCCTTTATGTTTTTATAAATTTTATAATGTTTCAATTTTCATAAAATTTTAGAAGGGCTATGCTTAAACAAATTGCGGAGCTAAATAATCTGCCTTCCCTGGATATAATGCTTAATTATATAAAATAAAGCTTTAAAAGTGAATTTCTATATTATATTTATTTAAATTAAATTTAAAATAAATAAAATTATTAACATTAATTAGAGTCGTCGACAAAGCTACATAGATTTAAAATCAATTTACATAAAAGGCAATAAATTTAAATGCGCGGACAACTCATGAGTGATATTGACTGAAAAATTTAATTCAATAATTAATATACCGTATTTCCTATATTAGAGCCCCACCCTTTGTTAGAGCCCCACCCTCTAATACAGCCCCACTTTGGAGGATAGTTGAAAAATAGAGCCCCACCCTCAATTAGAGCCCCACCCCTAATACAGCCCCACATAAAAATATTGGAGGAAAAATGAGTTTTTTTTTAATTTTTAATTTCTTTCCCTTCATTGAATTAAGAGTGAAGTGAACAAAGGGGGTATCGATGTTTAAAAGAAAGATTAGGGAGATATAAGGATCGATGGATATCGTGGTATTCGGCCGACTCGAAAACCCCAACCCTAATTTCCACGATATCTATCCAAATACTTTAATATCTCATATTCCAAAAAACCCTTGATATCACTTCCAATACTCCAAATCCACAATGCCCCTCTTGCTCAATCTAAATCTCTGATACATCAACTTAATCCTCCTATATTTCACATGATCTCTTAAAGTCCACTTATAGGTATGCCTCGATAATATCAACTTATACCCTTCTTGATCCATCGATGACAAATACAAGTCCCTTGAAATTCCTTTTAATCAGTCAATATCAAGTTTTAAGCATAGCAAGTCCAAATATCCCATGTGAAAACCCTAAAAATATCGGCCATTTTTCGATATTTTTCTATTTACCGAAAAAATATCTCAAACTTCCGACCGACGTTTAGCTGCAATGGATATTTAATAAATGGGATTTTATCTCAGAAGAGGGTTGAAAAATAGAGCCCCACCCTCAATTAGAGCCCCACCCTTTAATACACCCCCACCTTGGAGGATAGTTGAAAAATAGAGCCCCATGGGGCTCTAATATAGGAAATACGGTATGTATATTTTTAAATTAAAATAGAAATTGTAAAAGTTTTACATTATAAATTATTAAGACATGTGTGGGAACCTCGATTCTTACTGCCATGAATGAGGATTTTCCAATCCCATTTCCAAACTCACAATTTATCCCTTACATTACTATCAATAACCTAATAGTTTGTGAGTTAAACACTTAATTAATTAAATTATATTTAATTGAAAGTAAATTTAATTAAAACCCCGTTTTTGTTAATGGATCATTTGTGAGGGGCAAATAGTCCATAAATGGCAGTTTCTTGCTTTGCAATGAAGTTTTCGCAATATTTTGTCGTTGAAATGAAAAACTTAAAAACAAAATTTGACTAACATTCAACAGAAATATAAAATTGAAATCTAGAAATAGAAATAAAGTTATTTTATTTTAAGGTTTATTTGTTTTTAAGCTTATTTTATTTATAAGTTTTAGGTAAGTCTGACCATTTTTAGTCATTTAGTAAGCAAGAATTGAAAATTGGAATTGGAATTTAATGGAAATTAATTTGGAAATTAAATGAAATTGGAAATTAACTTTTAATTATTCTGTAAAAATTTAAACTAATAATTTATAAATTTAAAAAGTGATTCATCGCTTAATATAACAAGTAAATATGTTGAGCATCTAGTTCAAATAGTTTTATATGCAGTTTAATT